AGTCCCTGGGTGTTACAAGGTGGCTTGGCCCAGGGACCACTTAGGGTATGTGTTGGGCCCACAGAGCCCATGTGATGGGTTTCAGGGGGTGCACTATCCCTAACAGTGTATTCGGCTACGCCTTGTAACAAAGGCTGGGCTGAACCCATGTGGCTGATGTGTAGATCAATGYTTGGGTCCCACGCCATACAAGGAAGCCCAACTGTGCAGCAATTTGGAAGGTTTTTTGAGTACATAACCTTAATGGGCCTTAAGCCCATTTCGAACTGGGCTAATTTAATCAGTTAAATAAGGGGCGAATTCTGGGATTGGATTAGCAGATAGGATGAGGTCTTAACATTATCCACTCAAAGAGTCCAGATCTGAATGTGATTCAGATCTGGAAACTTCCTAATGAGATTAGGAGAAGGCTGATCCAATCTGCAGATAAGATAAGGGTTTACACTTATCACTTAAAGGGATGTTTGATCCAAATATGATTTGGATCAGCAACTCCTAAAGGGAGAGAAATTGTTGAAATTCGCCCACCTTATTCCGCAAGATTTGGGCGTCCATACGATGGATCTCTCACTCCTTCAATCTGAACACTAGGCCAGCCCATACAGAATTTACGAATGACTCTTGAATTCAACTTTTGAAATTATAAAACCGATTCCCACGCCATGTAAGCATCACACTTCTATCTACGCTTTTTATGTGAGGTGGCAATCCAACTCGGATTACATGTCACAAAGACTAAAATGACCCTGTTAGGGCCCACGGCCATTGTTCTCTCCCGCCCTCCCTATTCTCTCTCTTTCATTCTCTCACACTCTCAACTCTCTTCTCTTCGACTGAAACTTTTCCCTCGATGACGTCTCTCTCTTAGTCCTCTGTAAGAACCTGCAAGAAGCCAAGCAAATCCATGCTCTCATGATCAAATCCTCTCAAATCTCTAATACCAACTCGGCTAGCCGACTAGCCGAGATCTATGCCCTTTCCGATCATGGAAGCCTCAAATACACTATGAAGGTCCTCAATTCCGTCGAAGAACCATACCCTTTCATCTGGAACACGGTCATTAGTGGAAACCTCATGAAACAAAACCCCCTCAAAGCCATTCTTCTCTACAATCAGATGTTGTGCTGGTCTGTTGAACCCGATCACTTCACCTTTACGTTTCTCCTCAAGGCTTGCACCCAATTGCCAACACCCACTACAAGGAAATAGCTCCATTCTCATGTTGTCAAGTACGGGCTCGAGAATGACTAATTTATTCGAAATAAGTTGATTCATCTCTTTTGCAATCTCCGGGTCAATTTCAGATGCTCGCAAGATTTTCGATACAAGTACGGAGTTAGACATTGTTACCTGGAACAGCATGCTCGAAGGGTATGCAGATAACAGAGATGGTGAGTCGCTTCACCAACTCTTCGATAGAATGCCTTCTCGACATTTAGTGTCATGGAATACAATGATTGCTTTTCATGTTCAAGTGGGTGAGTTCAGGCAGGCAATCGAGGTCTTCCAGAGAATGCAAGAAAAGGGTATTCAGCCGAACCCAGTGACACTTATTAGTGTTTTATCTGCATTTGCCTGTCTGGGTGCACTTGCTCAAGAAAGGTGGATTCATGCCTACATAGACAAGCATGGAATTGAGCTTGACGAGAACCTCGGGTCATCACTTATTAACATGTACGCCAAGTGTGGGTGCTTAGAAGGTGCAATTCAAGCATTCTAGAAAACAAGTAATAAAAGTGTTCACACATGGAATGCAATGATCTTTGGATTGGCTGCAAATGGACAAAGCCTAAAAGCACTTGAACTCTTCTCCAAGATGAAGTCATCGGGAATTCGGCCAAATGCAATAACCTTTTCCTATGTTTTGAATTCTTGTAGCCACGGAGGGTTAGTTGAATACAGTGTTGATTATTTCAGACAGATGAGTGAGGTTTATGGGATTGAACCTGATATTGCACATTATGGGTGCATGGTTGATCTTTTTGGCCATGCGAGACTGTTCAATAGGATAGAGGAGACCATCAGAACCATGCCAATGAAACCCGATGCAGTTATGTGGAAGGCTTTATTGGGTGCTTGTAGAATCCACAAGAATCTTGAAATGGGGGAGCAAGCAGGGCTTAAACTTATTGAACTGGCTCCTAATGATCATGCGAGCTATGCTCTGTTGTCAAATATATATGCTATGGCTGATAAATGGGACAAAGTTCATGAAGTGAGAAAATTGATGTGGGAAAGAAGAATAATGAAGCCACCTGGAAGCAGCTCAATTGAATTGGATGGAGTTGTGTACAAGTTTGCTGTTGGAGATACAGCTCATTCTCGAAAGAAAGAGATCTATAAGATGCTAGGTGAAATGGGAGAAAGATTAAAGAATGCAGGTTATGAACCAGACGCAAAACAATGTTTGTTGGATATTGACGATGAAGAGGTGAAACAGACTTCACTAGGGCACCACAGTGAAAAATTGGCAATTGCATTTGGATTCATCAACACGAAACCTGGAACAACAATACGCATGGTGAAAAACCTACATGTCTGTGGCGATTTCCATTCCGCAATTAAGCTTCTCTCTAAGATTTACAACCGTGAAGTTATTGTTAGGGATTCAAATAGATTTCACTATTTTAAAAATGGATCATGTTCTTGTATGGATTCAAATAGATTTCACTATTTTACGCTTGAAGACAATGGATTACAATTTATAATGGTGTTCACCTGTAGCAAGTCCCATCCAGCCATCCGTCAGACTAATTATGTCAGCTGGTGAAGTTGCAAATGTAGTCAGGAGATACGCCATGTTTCACGATGACAGGTGAATTACATGAAATAATAAAATGCAATTACAACATCACCATATTACATACAACCTACAATCCTTCTCTAGTTGTTTCTATTTACCAGAAGCCGCTAATCTTTCTCCAATAGGCTATGCAAATTGCCATCTCCTCTTCAAACAACTAATTCCTCATCATTTTCTCTTTATATTTTACATTCTTTAGCCTGTTTTTGTTTTTTGGAAATTGCTACCTCCTTACTTTTTACCTCCACTTTCAACTTTTTTCATTTTCTTTATAGAATCAAATAAAGATCATTTTTCCTATTTGCTTTATGTCTTGGCAAATGGATTAGTTGGACGATTAAATGGTAACTGATCAATTCCCTCCGTTTTGTTTCCAACAGCCACAGTTTTACTGGCTTTTGGCTTCTCCCTTACTCGAGATTTCTCTTCTGATTTCTCTTGAATTGAAGCAGGGGAAGGCAGTTTTGGTGAATTAAATTGCTTTGAACTCAGATAGGGTAAGGTAGGGGGGGGGAGAAGATGGGACCAGCAACTCTGGTGAGCTTGTTGTTTTAAAGTTGGGAGTGAATACCCATGAGGGATTACAAAGGTTGAAAGGGGAGTGGGGGGAGGAGGTGACGGGGGGAAGGACATGTCTCTAAAGGCAATACACTTGAGAGAGATTGTGGTAAAAAAGAAAAAGGGGAAGCAAGTGATGAAGAAAGTGGAATGAATCTATAAGTACTAATATGGGACCAATGGGATGATTGTTGGGCTCTTGGATTTATTTCCTCTTTGGGTGTGCTTTATCACCTTCCTAAGGTATTATTTTTTCAAATGAATTTTATCTTATTTTACAAAAAAAAAAAGATATCTTAATGGCCCATTGGCAGAGATGGGGCCAATTGTGCCAACCTGGTAAGCATCATCTAACTTGGTAAAACTTTACCAGGATAGAATTAAAATAACAATTTGAAATATAAAGGCATTCCAAAGCCATTGAAAAGAAGCAATATCTTGTGACAATAAAGGAATATTTTGGTTTGTTTTTTGGACTGTGATAGAGGTTGTTTAGAGAAAAGATGATAAGATTTTGTTATTTGGTTCTACAGGTATTAGTATGGGATATGTAAGATCAAAGTTGGGCTTTTGGAATTATTTATGGATTATCACCATCCTAATGTATTTTTTTCCTAATGAATTTTATCTTATTCTTCAACAAAAAAAAAAAAAAACAAATCTTAATTGCCCCTTGGCAAATAAGGTGCCAAATGTGCCAACCTCGTAACCATCACCTAACTTGATAAAAGTTTACCAAGATGGGGTTAAAATGACAATTTTTAATATAAAGACATCCGAAAGCCTTTGGAAACAAACAATATCTTTTGACAATAAAATAATACCTTGGTTTGTATTATCGGACTGTGATGGAGGCTGTTTGGAGAAAAGGTTATCAGGTTTTGCCATTCGGTTCTATGAGTATTAGTATGGGACCAGTGGGATGATTGTGGGGCTCTTGGGTTTATTTCCTCTTTAGGTGATGCTTTATCACCTTCATAAGGTATTATTTTTTCAAATGAATTTTATCTTATTTAAATATATATATATATATATATATATATATATATATCTTAATGGCCCATTAGCAGAGACGGGGCCAAATGTGACAACCTAGTAAGCATCATCTAACTTGGTAAAACTTTACCAGGATAGAATTAAAATGACAATTTGAAATATAAAAATATGCAAAAGCCATAGAAAATAAGCAATATCTTGTGACAATAAAGGAATATTTTGCTTTGTTTTTTGGACTATGATAGAGGTTGTTTAGAGAAAAGGTTATAAGATTTTTCCATTCAGTTCTACGGGTATTAGTATGGGATCTGTGACATCAATGTTAGGCTTTTAGAATTATTTCCTCTTTGGGTGATGGCTTATCAACATCCTAATATATTTTTTTCCTAATTAATTTTATCTTATTTTTCAACAAAAAAAAATCTCAATGGCCCCTTGGCAAATATGGTGCCAAATGTGCCAACCTATTAACCATCTACTAACTTGGTAAAAATTTACCAATGTGGAGTTTAAATGACAATTTTTAATATAAAAGACATCTAAAAGCCATTGCAAAGAACCAATATCATTTGACAATAAAATAATACATTGGTTTTTTGAAGGAATGGTAGGATCCATCTAATGGACACCAAAGAGGTAGCGGAATGGTTGGGCGAATTTCAAAAATTTTTCTACCTTCTTCCAACTGGGATCTCCAGGTTCGAACAACCCATTAAATCAAAAATAAATAAATAACAATTCTAAATAAATTTTGGATTTAACAATATTAATTTCAGATCAATCGTCGTTAACAAGAAACCAATTCTTGAAAAAAAAGAAAGCAATCTGCGCAAATCTTGGAAGAACAATTTCTATCCATCTGTGCAGAGTCAGATCTGATTTTTCTTTTGGTTCAAGATTCGAACCTGTGGCTTTGATACCACTGATGGAATGGTAGGATCCATCTAATGGACGCCAAAGAGGTTGCGGAATGGGTGGGCGAATTTCAAAAATTTTTCTACCTTCCTCCAACTGGGAATCGTATTCCCTAAATTTAGAATACCATATTCAAGGATCTTATCTGAACCATAATCGAACCATATCTGAACCAAAAGGTAAAAGGGAGGATTATATCTGATCCGGAGAAGCAGTATCTCCCAAAGTTGGTGTTCACGCCCAAAGAAGAAACCAAGATCTGCTCCTACTGATGATGACACAGCTGTGGATGGAACAGAACCAGCAGGGTCCGTCCTACACATTGGATCCTTCCCAAGAATCCTCTGAAAACTTTGAACACCAAATCTTCTTCAGTCTTTCTTGCAAGACTGATGTCAAGAACTGATTTCTTGACTTCCTATTGTTGCAAAGATCGAATCTTGCAATAGTGAATGG